ATTTATCATCCTTCTTCCTCTTTAAGTATGAATGAAAATAAATTGCGAAGTATGTTTAACCCTCTTTTGTACGCTACTCATCGTCACAAGCAAGTTCAACTACTATACTTTCCCAGGTTTTGACTCCATGTCTGTGTAATCTTTGTTTTGTTTGTCAAACAAGGCACTGTGTGGATGGATGGATCGATTAATATCCATCTTATTGTGTGAGGTGTGATCGAAATTATGACATTGAAGTCCGAGAAAAATCTGTAATCTGTAGTCATTTTTTTTTGGTTGGCTTGTTTTTGTTGGAGAAATCAAAACAGCTGCGAAAATCTTCACTGCGAAATACAAACCTTTTGCACTCTGTGTGGAGAGGCTCATAGAGATAGATGGGCTTGATTTAAAAATAAATAAAATTAAATCGAGATATTCACGTTTGGTTTGAGAAGCGCTTAACACAGCAAAATTCACCACCTAACTGTCACTTTTTCAATGAATGCAACATTATGTGACCTCAGTTAATGATGACTGATAACAGCTAGGAAATGAGTGAGTGTAATGTGTGGAATGTCCTTTCCTGGAGATGACGATACGTCATGACCTGATCGTCTAGTTGATGACTATGCTTGATGACAATCAATGGCTATTCAAAAATAAATTTACAAATATTTTACATTACTGAGGTGGGAAGCTTCAGAAACGTTGTTTGTAGATAAATTTTGTTCATACTGCAGTAAGTTTCGAAGGTCAAGAATTAACCTTTAAGGTCAATGTATAGTATGGTCCTTTGACAGCTGTTGCTAATGATACCTCCTGGAAACAAAAAGGGGGAGCATTTCTCAGAAAATACCTGTCAAAAAGTAATGTATTTAACTCAAACTTATGAACTAACTAGTGTTGTCTGTAAGTAGGAGTGTGTGAATGAGTGAAAATGAGGTGTAATGGATGTCAGCTGTTGTGGCCTACCAAACAAAAGGAAGAAAGCTGAGGTTGGTGGCAGTAAGCCCACTGAGAGAGAGAGAGAGAGAGAAGGGCAGTCCTTTTTATGCCTTCTAGGAAGGCCAACCCAGATAGGCTGGAACGAGCAGCTTACTCCCAGTATCTGCAAAACAGGCATCACAGCAAGACAAGCAGGCAGGCAGAGTGGGAGGAGGTGTTACACTGGTTGTAGTGGTGACTGGTCAAGCTCCCAGCAGCTGACAGCAGCACACTGCCCTGCTGTGTCATTTTTCTCTAGGTTAAAGCAATGGCATCTTATCAGTCAAGTGTGTAGGTGGGTGTGGGGGTGTGTGCACCCACTCGAGCCCTTAATGAGTTTCTGCAGTCAGCCAGCTGTCAAGGCCACTCAATGACTAAACTTGCTTTTGCTGAAAGGTCACAGACAGGTGTTTGGCTCTCTTAAGAACACATAGCTGTATTTGCTCAACAGCACTTCAAGGAGTAACCACTGAAACACTGGGACAGAGTGACGTCAGGGGGAGAACAGCGGTGTTGAAGTGGTGATTTGGAGAATCAGGAGGAATTCTGGTGGGCTGGTCCAAGTGTTACTGTCTGTTAACTCCGCTGATTCCTTGTAGTCTCCCTGTCCTCAAACACACTTGATTAATGTCCACTCCAAACAAAGTGTAAAGTAAATGAGCAGCCAGGTTTGTGGTTTTCATCTTCCGCCCCAGCTTTATCTCCACGTTTACAACACAGTTGATATCACGTAGCTATGTTAATTAATATATACAGTATTTTTTTTTTAGCCCTGTTGGCATTTGCCTGTGTGGCCTGTTGAACAGGTTGGTCACTCTACATTCTTGAACTCTCAGGCAGAAACTCAGTTCAAGTTGAAGTGACCTTACAAGCACAGTCAATTACAAAGTTAAATACTAACAAAGAGGGGTGTGTGTGTGTGTGTGTGTGTGTGTGTGTGCGCATACTTGTATTTAATATAATTTGCATGGTCTGAATTGTCTTGCACCACTTGGGTGAACACTATATATATATATATATATATATATATATATATATATCTACATTAATCTCTATTGTACTATGTCCCACTTCACTTCTCTGCATATCTTTATATCTTTTGTTTTGTCTATGCTTCTTGAGAGAGAAAGAGAAACAGAGGCACCTTAGTAGCACTGGGTGTCCTTGACTGCTGTTTTGAAAATAGTTTTATCTCTGCCACATTGCTGACACAGTCTGATAACAACTAAAACGACGACTGCCACTAATATAGACTGAGTAATGGCTCACTATGAGGGAAAAGGTGTGGAGGTCAGGTGACCCCAGACAAAGGTCACTGATGACAGTTCATTTAATAAATTACCTTAAATTACAATACCCACTTTTTACTCAGTAAATGGAATATATTGTACAGTTAAAGCTGGGGTTGGTAACTTTTGAGAACTATCAAGAGTTACGTAATATATGAATATGTAATTTTGAAAGTAACCAAATGAGTCCCACCCCCTCCCTCCAAAGCCACTCCCCCGAAACACATTTTCATGTGGAATGAGTGCATGGGCAGAGTTCGCGCAGCTAGGTAGGGAGACAGGCGGGTAAGCCGGCCGTGCTTGTTACACTCCTGCGACAGCCACAGCAGGGTTTCCCACACACAGACTTTACTTGGTCGATATTTCACGACCCATTTTAGCATTTTTTATAGAAAAGCATAGAGAGATACATTATCTATTATAACGTTACAAGACGCGGACATGGTGGATAGTTTACAAGCACAGAACAGGTAAAGTAACATTGAAAACACCAGTGCAGATTCAGTCATTCGATACACACAGTGGTTTCAGTCGTTTCGATAGGCTACGTCATTAACAAGCCTCCTCCACATGCGGCACATCTGTTGCATAAACAGAATAACGGATGGAAAAATCTAAAAGACGGGTTCTGTGTCTTTTCTGCCACTTTGTGAAACATACTGCTGATGGAGAAAGTCAGCAGAGCAGACAGAAAGAGGCAGGACAAGCCGTTGTGTTTGCGATGAGAGACCAGAGGTATAGGGGTTTGTGTTTGAGTGTGGAGAAAAAAGGACTGAATTTAAAAGTAAGTTGAGCCGATTCAGGTAGTGAGTAAACAGTAAAATAAGGTGGAGAATGAATTAGAATTTTTAAAATGGTGAAATAAGAAATAGCCTACCTCTTCACACACACACCAAACAATGAGTTGTTTGTAAGAGTAATCTTAAATAACACAAACACACCCCGCGTCCCGTCTTTCTGCATATTTTTGGTGTGTCTTTGACCTGCTCTGGCTTGTAACACTGATCTAGGAAGTGAAAGTGAATGTGTTGTTGATCTTTCAGGAAACACTGTCACAGTAATAGCTGAATATCACATGTTTTGCCGTTTACAGCTCGGCAAAAGACATTTGTGTGCAAGAGACATTCAGATAAAAAGCAGGTCAGAGATGAGGAGGAGGAGGAGGAGGAAGAAGCGAGGACATGGATAGGGAGAGAAATGAAAGTAAAGGGGGGGGGGGGCTTAATACTCATAGATAGTACAGCAGAACACCTCAGGATATACCACCTTTCCTTTCCTGTCTGAAACGCACACGAGCCCAACGCCACAACAGCCGCAGCCCACTGCCCCCAGCTGTGTGTGAGTGCAGCTGATCCACCACACTCCTGACGCATGACTACGGTTTCTTTCTCTCTCACACACACCACACACACACACACAAATTCCTCTATTCTTGTAGGGACATCCCATCGAAATAATGCATTCCCCAGGCCCTTACCTTACCCATACCCACCATATCACAACAACAAGCCTAACCTTAACCCTTATCCTACCCCTAAACTTTACCCAATTCTACCGCTAACCTTAAAATCAAATCTTAACCCTCAAAAAGCAGTCTCCACATGGGGGGACAAAATTGGGTTCCCCACTGGTCGAAACTGCTTTTTGATACGAGTCCCTGTCTGTTATTTGTGTGCATTCAAGTCCCCACTAGGATATAAAAACATGAATCACACACATACACACAAACGCACAGTAAATTGTGTTTGGATGATTCAGGCTACGCAGCAGAAACAAAAAAGCAATGTTGCTTTCTTTTTCTCCAAACTCTGAAGAATTATATCTGGCCAATCTGGTCCAAAGGGTTTAAACTATGTGCTGATGTTGCATTCTGCAATTCTGAAAATGTGATATAATCTCAGTGAAACAGTCAACATGTCACATCTTTGTGATAACATGTATTTCCTGCTTCATGGCTATCTTTAAACACGTTCAAACAGTTCTGTTTACTTTAACAGTTGAAATTAAAACCTGTTTGTTGTTCAGTTGTTTTTGTCTTTGCCATTTACATGTAATTATTTAAAATGAACCGAACTGCTAATAAACAATACTAAAGCAGGGAAATGAATTTATCTTCGACATGGTTAAATGTGTCTGAAATTACAGTATTATCAGAGGGGTTACCTAACCACTGTGACTTGAAAGCAGCTGCTAAACAGAGTCATCATCTGGATCTTGCAATGCTATGGGACTAGCGCACACACACACACATACAGCGTAGGAAACCTCTTTCTGCTTCTTGGATTTATTGAAAATGACAATCTGAGTGATAACCTGATTGACTGCATTAATGTCTGGAGTGTGTGAACTGAATGTTCCTGCCAGCTGATTCAACATGGTTGTAAATGTCAAACACATACTGTAATACAAAGGGACCAACCTGTGTTTGAGTGATATTAAAGCAAGAAGTAGAGCAGGAAGACACAAAGCGTGTAGGTGCTAGACTAGACAAGTCCAAGTTCACTTTTTTTCTTGCCCGCAATACACTATGAGGAACTCAATGTCTTGTATTTTAATCCTGAGCCACTACTGATTTGAACTTGAGAACAAGAAAACTACAGAATTAAATGTTGTTTGTAATTGATATTTATTTCTAGAGGAAATTTATTGGCTATGTAAGGTTTGATTCCTGTGGAAACAGAAAAAGTAAGCAGCACCAAAGCATAATTGGATCTCACTAAAATGTAAACTGTATCTGATTTCTTTCAGAAAACTATCCCGTTAGCAGCTGTGATGGAAAGACAGAGTCCGTGGCGAACCTTCAGCCGCAGCCATCCCTCAGCTCGCTGCAGTCCAGCTCTCCTGGACCCAAACGTTCTGGAAACACTCTGAGAAAATGGTTGACCAGTCCAGTCCGCCGCCTCAGCCATGGCAGCTCTGTCAAGAAACTCCCCAATAACAAACAGAAGAAGACTGGTAAGACAGGCAGTTGACCATAAGTTGAGCCCTATCAACATAAATCTGTTGAAAGGTCATCCGCATCTAGACTTAACTGAGCCAAATGACAGCTGTGATTCTGTCACAGAAGCATAAAGCAAACCATAAATAAAGTTGTCTAAGAAGATTCAGGTCATAGTTATCCAACGAAGGTTAAAGTCAAGGGCAACTGGACTTGGTTGAAGATACTGGAAGATGTTTCGTCTGTCATCCAAAGGACTTCTTCAGTTCTGATAAATAAAGTTGTTGTTTTTTTCATGTAGCTATAACCAATAGCTAATTTCTTTATACTCAGTCTGGCCTAATCAGCCTTGTAATACAGTTGTAAGTTAGAGACCTTCTAAAAGAAGCTTTAATATATATTTTTAATTTTTATATGCTAAAACAGCATTGCAGTCTTGTTGATAAGTCTGTCGATAAACAATAGGCCTTTGGACATAATTTGCTTTTCAAAAACGTTGCTAATTCGCCGACTATGACATTTCTGTGTTCTTGAACTGGAAACGTTTTTGTTACAATTATAAAACTATGACATTATAATTGCTAAATAATTATAAAGCTAAATGCTCCCTGTAATAGATTACCCATTTACCCAGGACTTTGTAGAGAGGCTGGCAGAGAAGAGAAGAAGAATATCTTGGATATCTTGCATTTTAAATTTGTCACAATAGAATAGACTTTTCCATCTGTAAATGTTTGAGTAATTTATTGATTGACGGACTGTTTGACTGATCGATTGACAGGATCAGGAAGAGAGGAGAGCAGGAAGAGTATTGATCTTGGACAGCCTGACCTGCACGATGACATCATCGATGAGGTAAACAGTGAGATTCAAGAACAGTGTGTTTCAACCCAAATTGTTTGCATTCCTTCAATTTGAAACAGCTGATTGTAACTGTTACCTTACTTTTGTTTTGTAGCACTTTAATAGGTAACATATGCATACTAAATGTAAAAACAAACAAGCCCAACCACTTATTTCAGAATGCAATTGGAACCTGATGTAACCTCCAAACAGATCTTTTAATACAATTACACCCAACTACAAATAAATCCACGCATTTCTGAAGCTGTTTAAGGTTTGTTTACATCACTAATATTTGGCGACACAGCAAGGACACGGGCCTACATGGTCAATTATTATTAGACACCTAGCCTAAAAACAAACCAAACCCTGGTTTAAGGTTTACTTATTCCATTCCACATAGCTGAAGGGTATTATGGCAACTGTAGTTTGGCCTGGAGTGAACATGTCTTGGAGGTATAAAGAGATTTTAATTTACATTTATGGCAGTAACCAGCGTAAGTTCCTCTTTCTGTCTCTCTGACACAAATACACCCACACACACACAATCTCCAAACGCCTGAATTACTCACTGATTAATGGCCATATAAAACCTCTGGACTGGGTTTTTTGTATTACTCATTGATATTGTCATATCAAATCATATCATTAGGAAAAAAATGTTTTTCCTAGTTCTGTAAAAAGTTTCTTAGCCGACAAGCACAATTTAAATGCGGTCTAAAGACGATTAAGGAGCTGTTGTATCGACGGAACAAAAATTTGACAAACAAGTGATACCAATAAAACACGGGGAAGAACTCTTCTTCACAAAATATCTCCTGACAGTTTAGAATTATGATAAACAGCTTAAAGTGTTGCCACCTAAACCAGTCAAATCAATTAGACAAAACATGATATAACTAAGGCAAAGACAGCTTTGCATTTGATTGAGGAGGTTTTTTTTTTTTCTAACTCATCAAGGCTGACCAGAACCATGAGGAGTTATTGATCTATGATTCATCACCACTTCCCCAAACTACATGAAATGAAGCATAATTCAAAATCTTAATGGTCTATTAGGTCATTTCAGATTTTTTCAGGTTTTAGCAAAGACACATGACAGCTATGCAAGCTTGTCCAATCACATGTATGAAGGATTCATCAGTGACTTCTGGCTTGATGAGAGATATGTCACTTATCTTGCAGCTTAGCCAAAAGTCTCACCAAACCGCAATGACACTTGGTATTTTATATAAAAACTTAGTGTGATCAATCAAACACGATAATATGGATAGTTAAATGGACAGTTTGATCATTTTTTATTTATTTTGAATTTTTAATTGACTCCGTATTCTGTCTCGGTCTTCCTCAGGGAGTCCTCAGTAAGGATGGTAACATCCTCTCTAAGACGTCCTCTGGAATGCAGAGCGGCGGGGAGGAGGAGCAGGATGAGGAGGCTCACACCCCTCTGCCTCCCCCCATGGAAATCATCAAAGACCCTTCAGCTCAGGACGACAAGGTGAGAGGGGGTCACTGCCAATTTCTCCTGATCATTTAGAAAGTGAAATTAATCTTTAGGGGACGTTATTTAAACCATACCTCTACATGTTTATCTATCTTTATGTAGATTGTGTTTATTTAATCTGGAATCAGTTGAAATCAGGTTTAATTTAAAAAAAGGCATGTCTGTGTCCACTAACATGGTAAATCTTTTGCTTTTATGTGCTTTCTACATATAAACCTTTTTACCGTGAACAACAATTCAACAATTTTACCGTGTTGTTTCATTCTGTCTTTTTGTGATTAATCATTTGTGTTATTTGATGTTCATTTTATTACTTGTCAGCTACACATATATTTTTAATTAGTGTAAATTCTGAATTTCCTATTTAAATTTTCTGTTTTATAAATTTTTCTCTTATATTTATACTTTATATTTATACTATATATCATAATTTAAATTTTTTGTCATTTAATTTGTATTAGGTTTTATTAGCAGTAGTTGGGTCATAGCCTGTCTTTGTCTTGACTCAGTCTTGGTATAAATTCTGCAGTGTGTCCATCTATAGCTCAGCTGTGATACTGCTCTCCTCCGCTAACTAACGGCTTTTCTCTATTAACTATTCTTTTTCTTTCTTCAACTTCCTGCTTTCTCTCCTTCACTTCCAATCTCTCTAACATGCTGTTGCTTTTGATCATCCACCTCTTCCTATCTCAGTCTTCATCCTTGCTAACGTCTCTGCAGTCGTCCTCTGAGGTGCCCAGCGCTGCAGAGCTGGTTAGCGCCATAGAAAAACTTGTTAAAACCAAGATGGTGAGTGTGTATGATTGTGTGCATGTATGGGACGTACACATGTACATTATAACAAACCGATTTTGCTTGTAATGGGCACAAACGAAAAACACATGATGTACAGACGAGTTGTCTTCATAATGAGGCATTATGGGCCTAAAGGTTTAGGTAAACACGGCTTGTTTACATGCTGTCTCTATGAAGCTTACACATTATGTACAGATTATTTTGTGCTCATTTCACCAAATTAATAGTGAACATATGTAGGGCCAACAGTCATTCATGTACAGTATAGTGTACTTATGTGTTGTAATACATTTGTGTCTATGTTTGTGTGATGTACATTTAGTGTATAGTGTAGTAGTTGTGTACTTAGTGTTATTATTATGAGTAGTTTAGCCTCACTGTGTTTTGTGGTCTTTTTTATGCATATGTGTTGTAAAAAAGCAATGTAAAGCCCCCATTTGGATGAGATTAATAGAACAGGGGGAGTTGGGGAATGAAATAACTGTGCTCTGGGTAATTTAAGTCATCTTTCTGTGCGGTATTTAAACCACTGCAAAATAAGAGGGTTATGGTGTGTAATAGACACAGCAGGAAAAATCTTGAAGCCTCCCGAGGGGGGTGCGGAAGAGTTGACAGTGAGGCAAAGATACTGTAAAGACCCATCTTCTCTGCACAGATATCTCATTTACCAACACAATGTCTAATCTATTTTGTACTACTTTATGAAATGATGCCATGAGATCTAACAAAACAAAACCTGCACACTCATACTGACAATGTCAAGCGTTTGTTGCCGTACCGTTGCTGTGAAGTTTAAACTGGACTATTTTTTTTAAGTCAGGTTAAGTCAGGTGGACAAATCACAATCTGCTGAAGAAACAGTTGATGAGATTTGGTGCTGATGTGGAATTTTTGATTTCTACTCTTACATGATTTGCAATTAGGAAAAGCAGATGTGGGCGTTTGCTTTTCTAGAGTCACTTCATACAATCAACGCAGGTCAGCGGTTATCAACTGATAGTATGACGTCCATTTAACAGTCGTTCCAGCTCTTGCTGCTCTCTGCTGTCATTAATCAGTCTCATTATTCTGATGTTGGTGTTTTTACCTGGAGTTTTTGCTCCATCATGTATCTAAGTATAGAGGGTGTAGGTGTTCATACTGTGAATCCTTCAAAGATAAATCTATAGTTCTGGTCTATATAGATCAAGTATATGAGCAAAACAAAAGTTGTTGTATGATAGTGTAGCTGCTTTTCTGAATCTATGAGATTCTATAAGGGAGATAATCCACCTCTAAACACTTTCTCCTCTTCTCTCTTCAGACTCTGGAACCAGGAGCGTACCCCGGCTTCACCACTCTCTCCCCTCCAGAGCCAACCACTCCTGTCCAGCCACGAAACCCTGAACTGGAGCAAAGAGCCAAAGCTATGAGAGGACGGATGTGAGTTAATAGTGCAACCATTACAACTGCTTCTAATTCAAGAACTACTACTACTTCTACTACAACCTTTACTACCACAACCATTGCAACTAGTAGCGAAAGTGCGGCTTCAGTATTAGTGCCTTGCTGCAGCACGAGCAAGTGGCTGACAGTGGAAACATTTCTTCAGCTGATCTTACAGTTTTGTGTTTGTTCTGCTCAGGTTTGTTCTGAACGAGCTGATTCAGACTGAGAAGGACTACGTCAAAGACCTGGGCATCGTGGTGGAGGTGAGACACCTACTGCTGAGGGAATACACATATATATGCTTATCTGTGCTATGTTCTATCTGCATTATCCATTCTGTACAGTCAGTGTGATCCGATTCTTTCTTTATCGTAATTCAGCAACTCTTACATGGTAGCTAGATAGTAAAATATTCCCTGGGTATTTTGTCGTTCTGATTTTAATTCGTCATTAATTGAGGAGAAGTGAGCAGAGCATCCTCAACCTAGTGATCTTTTGTGGCTCTGCAGAGCTTCATGAAGAAGATAGAGGAAAAGGGCATCCCTGATGACATGAAAGGAAAAGACAAGATCGTCTTTGGGAATATCCACCAGATCTACGACTGGCACAGAGAGTAAGCTCAGCATTGTAGCCCGAAGGCTGGAATTGGGCCCAAAGAGGGCCAGGTGGAGACCGATTGAAGTCTCCAAATTGTACTGTTTGCATGCGCTAACTAATAACATCCTTCTCTCTGTGTCAGTTTCTTCGTGGGAGAGCTGGAGAAATGTCTGGACGACCATGAACACCTTCCTGAGCTCTTCATCAAACATGTGAGTGGAAGGACTGTGTGATGATGATTTTGTGCTTTTCAAACATATATGACCTGCAAAAATCCCAATTCTCCCTGGGATCTGTTGTCTGAAAGAAATTGTCTGTGTGTTACAGGAGAGAAGACTGCACATGTATGTGGTTTATTGTCAGAATAAGCCTAAGTCAGAGTTCATCGTAGCAGAATATGACACATATTTTGATGTAAGTGATGTTTTGACTCTTCATAGTACTGTGTTAGTAGCTGTGTTGTTGTTTTTTAATTTTGCAAAAAAAACATACAAGGGCTTGAAATTGAATTGAAACAATTTCTCTACCTAATGAGACTCTGAGCTCTCTAAATATCTTATTTTTTAGTTACTATAGCTGTGTCCTTGCATTAATGGAAGATTTTAGAGTCTGGTTAATGTTATATTATCTGATTTATCTGATGTAAGAGAAACCTGAATTAGATGGATGGATTGAAGAAGCATTCTGATGCTGCTGGGGTTTGTCTTCCAGGGAATCCAGCACGACATCCAGTCCAGGTTGTCCATCAGTGACTTCCTCATCAAACCAATCCAGAGAATCACCAAATACCAGCTGCTACTGAAGGTAACATCTTATTGAATTAAAAAAAGACTATCAGGCATGATGTCATTACGTGTTTTTTGATTTGGAGTATGATTAATTGGAAGAAGGGAATGTCACTGTTCCCTTCACATGGAAATTATTAACTAGTTGTAAAATAGTTCCTGTCATATATATTGCAATATTAAGTCCTGTTGCATGTTGTTTTGACTCTGTTGGAAAAGTTTTATGGAACCATTAAGTTACGTGGACTTCATGCCACTTTTAACTGTTTGATGTGTTTGGTTTGCCCTTTGTGAAATATGAGCAAATGAACTCTGTGTAACAACTTTTTAGATGAATGTAGTAATTTTTGCTGTGATGAATCTGATGTGCCTGTCTGTGTATATTCAGGGTAAAGTGATGAATTGAAACTGCAGTGAACTGAATTTTCAGTGTCTTAAGTGTTAAAGTTGTCATGTTTCTCCTCAGGACTTCCTGAAGTTCAGCTGCAAGGCAGGAATGGACACCGAACAAATTGAGGTGAAAACACAACTTAAGTTAAAGTGCTGAAAAATCTAAATTTCCCCAACACATACAGTGTCCACCCTGTGTTTACATCATTGCCTGCATCCAGTGGCCTGTACTACGAAGCGAGGTAACTGGCTTATCCAGGTAACTTCAGGAGTAACTTTGTGACGTTGAGAGTAACTTCCCGATTAACCCGTACTACGAAAGGTGATAGGTGTTAACCGAGGTCTGTTGCCATGGCAATTTACGCTGCATCTATAAGCTGCTCCGAGCAGGTTATGTTCGTGGTTAACTTGAACATAACCTGGATACATAGGCTACCACTTGATAAAACATTTTTAGATTTCATCCTGACTTTTTCCTCTGCATTTGCAGCTGAAATGCACAACAGCATTACGTTCATACAGCGAGCCTCTGATTTTAGGGAGGAGATCTTAATTAATTAATGGGACAGTTTCTTAGATGTAGCCCATCTTTAGGCTATTATTGAATTTCCCTGAAATTAAAGTCACAAAAATCTAAATCACTCTGGTGTTTTCCTTTGAATACGCCCAATCCACGGTAAAGTCTCTAAGGTGCATGATAATATAGTGATTGTTGGCTAAACTCACTTATTTCCTCACTTGGATTGTGAAGTCTAACACAATTTTCCGTGTGTGTGATGTTGCAGCCTTGCAAAGTGAAGCGATGTGGTTCCTGGACAAAAAAACACTATTTTTCAGAGAGTTTTGCTCATAAATGTATAAATACAATGTCAGAGAATATATTCAGGTTTTTAACTTTGTTATTATTAGTTCCTCGTAAATCTACCACTGTAATCTTAGATTCTTTCTCCCTCTCCCCTGGCTCCAATTTTTCCATTGCAATGGACATAATGTGCAGTTGTACCTTTACATCTTAATGATATTGCACATAAATGAAGAGTCCATAAAATCCATAATAAAGAATTAACCTACAATAAGAACACTGTGAAGATAATTACAAATTTACTCCATGCGATACAAACAAGCCTCCCTGACTTTGTCGACCGCCATGGTGTTAGATTTGACCGTTAATGTGTCTTTAAACTCCTCACATTATAACACCATCAATGTGCATTCTTGTGGGGAAAATATGGAGAAAACTCTGTCTGCACGGCCAAACACACCCCTTTTATGCGTACGCGCACCGACCCCAATTAAGTTAACACCGGGTTAACACACGACTCAACGAACCAACATCTTATTCACCGTCGTAGTAGTTTAACACCAGTCAGTTTGTCAACCCTGAGTTTGCTTGATAACCCTGAGTTAACTGAGTAGGTTGAACTTCCTTTGTAGTACAGGCCACTGGACTTGTTGAGAGGTTTTTGTGTTGAAACTCTTACATGCTGATGTGGGTCGATGTCTGTAAATGCTCCAATTTATTCACTTAACTAATGATTTAAATTACTCTCTCTGACTGTTGCAGAAAGCAGTAGATTTGATGTCCCAAGTCCCTAAACTGTGTAATGACATGATGAATTTGGGACGGCTGCAGGGATATGAGGTATGTGGTTAATAACATGTTTACACAGCATAGTATCAACAGAGTTAAGACTTTCCAGCGCACCCTCCACCTGATTATTACTGATATTTTGGAAAACTAACAAGTGAGTATTGAATTAATCATGTTGACTTATCAAACTTCCCTGCAGGGTAAACTAACCAGTCAGGGCAAACTGCTGCAGCAAGAAACCTTCTTTGTAACAGAGCAGGACGCCGGTGTCCTATCGCGCTCCAAAGAACGACGAGTTTTCCTCTTCGAGCAGATAGTCATCTTCAGTGAGCTGCTCAGGAAAGGATCATCCATACCTGGATACCAGTTCAAGAAGAGCATCAAGGTCAGAGAAGAAGGTTTTCTGTTTTTTCTGAGGGATAACAATCAGGAACGGACATTTTAAAGAGTAACTTAACACTTAAGACACTTTTCTGAGTTAGTAAATGTTAATTTCAATAGTTATTTTTCTGTTTTCAGAGGAAATCCTGTAAATTTGTCCACTTGACCCTCTAAAAATTGAATGACATAACCTGAGACACTAGGAGGCAATGTAATGTACACCCCCACCCCCACACACCTACTCTCCAAAAGATGTTTGGAATTTACAGTGTTGATCAGTGTTATAGTGTTTGTGTGGATTTGTGTGAAGTGTTCAAGCTAAAACGAGGTGTTGCTCTTTAAATAATTTAACCGATCGACAATGGATAATTGATAGTCGCTCTCCTTAACTTTGTTATACTGAGCTGATAAAAATTATTTACTGCTGATATTTCAGTCAGATATGTAGGCATGACAAAATACCTGACTCCAATCTTTGAAAACAATTTTCCACCACATGTCTCACAGTCTTGATATGGCTGTTAAATTAACAGAAAAGGGAAATGTAACTTATCATCCTTTGTCATCACCCTGGTGGCTTTGAAACCACAAACTACCTGAGGCATGCATGCAGACAACAATGCCATTTATTTTTTAGGAAAGTCCTGTTGGTCTAAAACCCTTACATGCATGCACATAATTACAGTACTATTCTGCCCTCTGATTTATACTCTGTAAAATAAGCTTAGTAAACATTGTTTGATCATAATTAATTCTGTACTGTAATAAGCTATCAAATAGACACACATTATCACTTTGGTTTGTACAGAACTTTGAACTTTGAAACCTGAATATGGTCAATAAACGAGCAAGGCCCTCGCTTCCTGGCTCGTGAAAATCGAGTGGCTGTTTAATTGCGTTAATATTATACAATTTGTATATAGCACGTAACGGGAACAGCACAGGAATCTATAAATTCTAATCACACTTAAACTGCCCTCCCTCACAGGTATCCTACCTGGGTCTGGAGGAGAGCGTGGATAACGATCCCTGTAAGTTTGTCTTGACGTGTCGCGGCTCATCGGAGCGTTTCACTCTGCAGGCCGCCAACGTTGACATCAAGCAGGTCTGGGTCAGACACATCCAGGAAGTTCTGGATGCTCAGAGCAACTTCCTGTTTGGTAAGAAAACACTTTTCCACTCACACCCACACACACATTTACAATATTCTCTTGTGAAGGATGATAATTTGTCATCCCTCAAAAAGAAACAGTGGACCAAAGGCCATAATTCACTGTGGACTAGTTTGAGCAAGTTTTTAGTCTCTGAAAGTACATTTTCATAGATCTCTGAATAATTAAGACTGTAATTAAAGAATAAGCATAGTTAAGGAATCAAACAGTGGCTGCCCAGGAAGTAGGCAAATGTAAATCAACACCACCACTGCATTCTTTGGAAACAAGTCAGCAGTAATATAAAGTATAGATGATGTCCAAGGAAGGTTAAAATCAAGGGCAACTTGACTTGGTTGAAGATACTAGTCTAGTGTCTTCAACCAAGTCCAGTTGCCCTTGATTTTAACCTATGTCCTGGATGACTGAGAACCTTCAGAGACATTGTATATATGATGGGCTAGAAAATGCTAAAATGTTGCACAACAGGATCCAAAATTCTCATTCATGTCAAGAGAAAAACAACAAAACATCTGGAGAGCCAGCAAACCTGAAATTACACCGCAAAAGAGGAATATAGATTTTCCATCTTTGTGTGATTGTAGCTCTTCAGTCTCCCATCGAGTACCAGAAGGAGAAGAGCGCAGTATGCCACAGCTCCTCACTGACCAGAAACCGCTCATTCTCGGGGAACCGGCCCGCTACACCCTCTCACAGCCGTCCGTCCTCGGCGGTCGGGCTTGGTGACAAGGAGACGGAGAGAGGGAGGAGCCCGTTGAAAGTGTCTACCTCCAACGGCGGTTCGTCATGTTTTGAATCCAGGGTGAGTTCCTACAAACAGTCTGGTCTCACATGATGGAAAGGGAACTGGCTTCTTGGCTCATACTGCTATACACATTTATTTTTTTTATTTCTTCAGGTTTCTTGGTATGTTCGTGATTTTTCATAATCCTGGGTCTGGTCTGTGCATTAGCGTTTTGTCGACTTAGCCATTAAACATATAGACTGGAGCAGACAGCTGGTGATGAACTAGGGCATGAAGCACTCTTTTTCCCTACATGCTGTCTGTGAGTCTGTTACCTGTCCCTAAAGCCAAGGGTAAAATCTGGGCTATATATAATACACACACACACACACACACACCAAACTGTTCTCTTTCTGGCCTACTTTCACTGAAAACCTTTTGCTGTCTACAGGAGGCTGGACAGCTCTGCTCACCTTATGATTTACAGCCTGCCAAGCTCTATGTAGAAGTACCTTGACCTTTGTCAAGGGAGAAATGTTCCTAAGAATAAGATTTTTAGAGTTTTCTAGTCATGGGTTAAAGGGACACTCAATTAAATAGAACTAAAGACTACATTCTTTAAGGCTATGTAGTATAACAAACTTTAAAAGCTTCCTAACACTTATTTTGTTATTTGCTGTGAGATATTTACTGCCGAGACTTTCCCCAATACGAAGAAGTGAGCGGTATTTCCTTTCGACAAATGTCCTGCACTCATATTTGGTAGAAACTGGTCCTCATTATCCAGAATAACCTGGTCACTGTTTTCGCAAAGAGATGCTACTGATGAGTTTAAATGTATGAATGTGCTTTTTTTGAAATTCCATTCTCCTCCGTTGTAGAAATATCAGCAGCAAATGTCAAAACCTCTCGAATGTCTACTCATGTAATGATCTGCCAGTGCCATGACAAATGACACTTGTAGTTGTGGAAATGAACGCCAAGACGGATAATAAGACTGCATCATAATATAATTTCTATCTGGGTTGCATATTGAGCACTTAAATGTCATGTCACTGACGTTATTTCTGTGGACTAATTTTAAGCCTACAGCCTGTAGAGCAGCATCAGTCGTGTCGCCATTTGCATGTATTTTTTTGTTTGGTCAGCTTTTTTTGGGGCTCTGGCACAGGAAAATATTGTCTCACCTACCGAGCACTGATTGGCTTGGTTGTTTTTCCAATGAAAACTGCTGTCAGTGAACACCAGACCTATTTGAATCACTCCAAAGAAATGTGGATAGTGAATTACTGGATGGGAATCAGTCTACCACACTTCCAGTGAAAGTGGGTCAGTTTTTCAATGGTTTCAGCTGAGCTTTCTCTTCACCACCATTGTACTAGAATGAAGGCAGAAATCTCTGCAGCATATATCAAACCCCCTGTGTTGTCTGCTCCTGTTGTGAACTAGAGTGTGGCTATTGCTTCTAGTCTAAACAGTATGCTGACACTTCTTTGATTGTCATTGTTTGTCCTCCTCCTTGGTCCTGACCTTCCTCTGCCCCCCCCCCCCCCCCCCCCCCCCAGGTTTGGGTCAGCTGTAATGGCATCACAGCCAGCAGAACTGTTATCCAACCCACATAGACGAACCTTAATCTTGTCCTCAATTGTCCTCATCCTCCGTCATTTCCATCTTTTCTTTGGTCGTCTCCTGCTCTTCTCCTCTTTGTGTTTTTTCTCCTTTTGTCTTCTCCTCTGTTCTCTTTTTGCCACACTTTCCTATGCTCCTCAGGACACTGAAGGCGGCTGTAACGGCGTCTCCTCCACCATGATGGTCACTCAGGACTACTCAGCGCTCAAAGAGAACGAGATCTGCGTCAGTCAGGGAGAGACCGTCCAAATCCTGGCCAACAATCAGCAGAACATGTACCTTGTTTACCGGCCAGCCAACAGCCTGTCGCCTGCCGCAGAGGGCTGGGTGCCGGGACACGTCTTGGGCCCGGCCACAAAGTCCATAAAAGACTCTTCTTCTACTTCCTCCTTCTCAGCGGCGGTGGCCGATGCCAACAACATCAAGTAAGTCCCCAACCCACCCAGCACTTCTTTACCTGCAGACAGACGTACTTCTGGTTGGGCTCGTACCAAGCACTCGGATTGGATGAAAGAATCGAGGTGACAACTCTGTCTACCCATTTTTGTTTGTGTTTTTTTTTTTTTTTTTTGATTCAGCTCCCATCCCCAGTACCTAACTGCTCGCTGCCTCTGCCCTCACCTCCTAACTCCTCCTTCCCCCATATACTTTCCCTCCTCCTCCTCCCTTTAAGAACGAAGTCTTGGACCTCAGAGGAGACTCTTGTTTTTCTTTTTTTCTTTTTGTATTTTAACCCCTGACTTTCTCTCGTCTCTCCTCGGAGGTAAAAGGTACTGAACTGGTCTCTTACTGTCCGTCAAGCTGCTGCAGTGGCAGTTTTATATCTGAGCCATTGTCACAGGATGGCTCTATGGCAACTACATGAAAATGGATTTCAGGCTTGCAACCGAACTAAAACACACATGCTGATAATGTCCGTGTAAACGAGTACTGAGGATTTATCCCACAGAAATAGACTGGATAAAAAAATCTTGTAACTTGTAGCTGACTCTGGAAAGCAGAGAGAAAATAACCATTGACACTCATGTGGAGCTAAAACCGGACTCTTATTTCAGTTCCTAACACCCTGCTTTTTCTTCTTTTATTTTTATTTTTTTGTATATGAATTTTCTTTTTACTGTTTTTGGAAAGAAAAAAAAAACTCATCTGGGGCATTCAGGTGGCCTCAGCCCCGTTTCTCCGCAGTGGAGAAGATTTATTTTGTTGTCTGTGGCAATCTATACAGAACTTTGTCTATTAATCTTGTTGCTGTTGTTTTTCTGCCTTGTTAATTATAATTTTATTTGATGGACAAAGTTGGATTTTTTTTCCCTCCTCCTTGTTGATTTTGTTAATGTCGGCAGTTCACTGTATAAAGTTAATTCTGGATTTTCAACTGAGGCTCTAGAACATTCCTGTTTAAAAAAATCCCTTTTGCACTATTTAAGATAAGAAAAAATATGAATGAAGTCAGGCTGTGCAATATGTTGCATTTAATGGCAGCGGTAAGCATTGTACTGTTGGTAGTCTAATAATATTGATTTTAAATGTATTTTAAATATGTAAAATAAACCTTTTGGACTTGAGCATGAGTTAGCAAAGCGACGTGAAGGTGAAGTTGTTTTGTTCTGCATTAGGCTGAAGATGATTGACAGTTTGTAGTTTTTAATATTTGTAAATAAACTACAACACCAAACGTGAAACTCAGAGGTCTGCCTGCTTCTTCTCGTAATAACATTAGAAGGGGTTTTTGTGTTTAAGACCAGATAGAGATTTAGGAGTCAAGTGGCTAAACATTAGTTAAACTATCTTTAGAGGATCATCTTCAGGAAATGAGACTAAAAGTAATAAATAAAGCAGGGTTTTATTTATTGAAAATGTATGATTATTTAGTCTAGAAAACATAAACCAGCAAAGAACGTCACAGTGAAGCAACAGGTATAAAAGTGTCTGCAACTTTTTCCCTGTGTGGTTAATTTCAGCTTTTTGTATTTGTTGTTATTGTAGTGACTTTTTTTTTTTGTTTTGTTTTTGTTTTTGTGTTTCAGTTTTACTAACCTCAACGGTTTGACACTCCACAGAAGGTACAAAATGGTTTTAAAATGGGGAGATATGGAGAAACACAGCTGCTTTTTGGTTTTAACACTAGTTTTGCAAATAAATTTTGAAAAATGAGTGAGAATGATCATGATTATGTTCTTGAAGGTGTTAACAGCTAATAACTGCTTGAACAGAATTGACGGGAACTGCTTCTAAGTTTATCTGCTGACCTGACAAGTGTTGTTGGCAAAGAGGTGGTTAATATATAATGACACTCAACAAAAGTAGTAGTATTAAGACAAAGAAATAGATTTTGCATTAACTATAGAGGATGTATTTTATCCAATATAGACATTAAACTAAAGAAATTATTTTTTGCCACCATTCTCTTAACTGTTCATGTACAACAGTACGAGTTAAACATTAATGATTATTGATTAGTTATCTGGAAACACAAGTGTGTTAAACTGCAGGTGTGATTCTTGAACTTGTTAAAAGGTAACAATGTTGTATCTGTGTTAGAGGAAGGTATAGTATGTCACTGTTTGTTTCTCTCACATCTCCATGTTGCTCTCTCTTCAGTCTTAACTTTATTTCTGTCTTAATAAAGTCAAACCAGTGTCCTTCTGTCACTCTGTCCTTCCACTCCTGTATCTTAATGGACCAGAAGAGTCTGGCTGCAGCTTCAGGCAACAGCGACCCTGTCAGGACCCTCTGTTTCACACCTGAGGGCGCAAACATTTAGATTGTACAGACATACTGGAGAACATGATGGAGGCGATGGAGGAATTATGGAGGCCAGAGGGTGACACAGAAAATAAACATACTTTTAAATGATTCAATGCTGTGCAAGTGACTACAATAAGTGTCTGTTTAAGTGAAGTGGAGCAGTTCTCCACCTCTTTGTTGCTTTCCATCAGTGTTGGATCCACTCTAACTCTAGCAAGATATGCAATCATTACAAACCATTCATTCTTACAAGAGCCCGTTTCTTCCATTTTATAAAGAAAAAATGGATGCGAAAGCCTTTCATGTTTATCTCATAGTTATGTGAATCGTCTTTTAGTATCTCATAATTATAAGAAACTTTATAATACTTTTGAGATGGAGGCTGAAAGATTAGAACAAAACTCATATGCAGGATCATGTTTTGTTTTTTATACACTGTAGGTGTTTTGAAGGTAGAGAAAATGTAAGTTTAACAGAAATCGGCTTCAACAGTGGTTCTTGAAAGTTTGTGAACCCTTTAGAATTTTCTATATTTCTGCACAAATATGACCTGAAACATACTCAGGTTTTAACACAAGTCACACAAAGTACATCAGGAGAACAAACTTTAACAAATTATAATATTTTTGTCTCATTTGTTTGTTATTAATTGAGGACAATAATAAAATATTGCATATCTGTGAATAACGTTTAGCTGTTGCAGTTCCAGGGCTCAGACATTGAGCAAGCTGGCTCGCCAGTATGACTTAGTTGGACATCTAAATGGACCTAAACAATCAGCATCATTATTATTAGGCAGACCTGTGTTTTTACTGCTATGAAGTCAAAATGTCCGCTGCGACAATGGTGTATAAATGCAATGAAAATGCAACAAGCCAGTAAAAATTTGAGAAATTAATATATAATAGGTATTCATGTCATGCAACATATCACACAAATGTTATAGCAAACTGCCCAACCACCTGATAGCCACAGAGGGTTCTGAGAGAGTCATGACCTGACTGCCATTTTGCATCTCCAGCCAGACTAACCACACACCACTGAGCTGCTCTCTTATTGGCTGGTTGTTTCTTGTTCCTGTACCGTACAGGAAGTCTCTGTCATGGAACACACTGCGTGCCAGGAAGCGCGCTGAAGCCAAGGACGTCTCCTCAGTGGGGGTCAGAGGTCAGGAGAATGGCCTCCTCCGTAAGCCCAAAGAAACCATGCCCCCTCCTCCACTCGCCTCCCCCGCCACCAGGGCGAAGGGCAAAGTGAGTAAAGCAGGCTGACGCGCACGCTGGTGAGGTCATGTGTGTGCCGAAACCCCCTCACCTGCCCGCCACCCCACTTAACCCGTGTGTGTGTGTGTGCGCCAACCTACAAACACACACTGTAGTTGCTGTGTCTCTCTTGCCTCCAGCAGTGGTTCTCAACCTGACAACAAGACATGAATTTCGACTTTTATTGACAAGTTCAGTACATTTTGTATTTATGGATCACGTGACGGGCAAAAGCACTGACTCCTAACCAAACCATGACAGGCATAAAAAAACACTTAAATTAATAACCTTTTGTATCCCTTATAGGCAATATATATTTTATGTCTACTGTAGCTTAAATTCCTGATCAGACCAAAAAGTAGTGCAGCACAATGCATTTCGTGGAAGTTTGCTAACAGACTCGTTGCGGGGCATGACATTTCAAAATGTAATGATATTGAAAGGTTGAGAACCACTAAAGAAGAACACGAGCAAGTTTTACTTTAATCTTGTTTTGTTTTACCCTAAACCCTCAAATGCACGGATTGGAAAATAAAGTCTGATTTCTTTTTGTGTTGTGGTTTATTTCTCCCTCCTTCTGCATGGGTAGTGTTAGAATCCAGTGACTTACTGATTTAAGTTTTACTCTTTTTACTCTGCTGTGTTAACCAGTGTTTTCTGTAGTGGTCTAACATCATGAAGCTCACCCAAAAAAAAAAAAAGTGTGGATAGATCTGATGTTGAGTCTGCATGAGGTACATCTGACATTTGCTGTTCAAAGTTCAAACACTCCACAAAAGCAGACCAAACTTTACGTTCTTCCTCTGCATTTTGAGGATGTCTACTACTACGGGTGTTGGTTATTAACTGAACAAGGTTTAATTCTGAAGTTCATCATGTAAAGAACTACCAGTATCTACATAACATATTAGCTTTCTGTACCACTTTTTATTTCCCCCTCTTATGGATGTGTGAAATACATAAATTACATCTGCTATGCAGCCTGAATGGATTTCTACATGAATACATTTAGCTGATGCTTTTATCCAAAGCAACTTACAATTGCTATTTATATCAGAGGTCGCATGCCTCTGGAGCAACTAGGGGCTAAGTGTCTTGCTCAGGGAAACATTGGTGCATCACATTGGGGAGTTGAACCCGGGTCTCCCACATCAAAGCCATGCACCTTATCCACAGTAACGGTTACGTTTACGGCATTGTTAAACTTATAATATGAAGCTTAGAGTCAACGCTGGATTTAATCTTTGTTCTCTTTTTTTTTTGTATGAACAAAAAAATTAATTAACTGAGAACATCGATCTGCCCTCTGCTCATTGCAAGAGAAACTTAGCAAAATATCCTAGATGGTATGTAGGGTCTTTGAAATCACCACCGATGTTTTGAAGCTAATAATTTTGGTTTACCTCTTGTTGCCGTCTTTGTAATTTAATGGGTCCTTAATAATCATCTTCAAAAACTAATTATGGTGGAGCTGAAGTGGAATGAACACGCAACAGTATACCCGATTTATTTATTATTTTTGTCAGGTAGTTTGATTTATTGATTGCTGTTGGGATGTAAAGAGAACTTCAACAAAAATTGCCTACCCCAGCCTTAAAGGCCAAATTCCTTTGAAACCGCTTCATTTACTGTGTTTTTCTAGATCAGAGTTTGAGAATTTTCTGGAAGTCGGCCTCTAGTTTAGTATCCATAAGAGGAATTGCAGTTTACAGCACTTCAGCATTGACTTCATGCTTGCTAATTGATACTTGTTCCTTGGTAAAGTGTGGTGTAGGCCATTCTTCCTGAGAAGGAAAGGAAAATGGAGAGGGTAAGGAAGCGATGATGTAAGGCTAAGCATCTAAAAACAACATGGCTGTCTCGTGAAAAGTTCCAAACCAAAGGCTGTCAGGTGAGTATCAGCCAAACAAACAGGGTTCTGTGCAGAACAGAGATGCTTCTTCAGAATCTAGAATTACCTTCCATGACATTTGGAAACGCTCTTCAGCAGGTGAAATTAAAGGAGGGTTTTTCTTGTTTCTCTTCAGCCACAGAGTAACAAACATACATACTCCTAATATTGTCATCACACTCAGTTACTTTTGACACTTCTCTAATTTCCTGTTTCTCTTATCTTTCTTTGCCACAATTTTTCTTCATATCTGAATTTCTCCCTTCTTCCTTTCCTTTGGTTTTTCCCTGCCCTTTTCTCCTCCTCTGCCTCACTCCATTTTCCTTGTTCTTTCCCTTGAAATCCCACGTCTTACTCTCTTCTCTCCTGTTCTACTTTCTTCTTGTCTTCCTCCTCCACCAGGAGGTTCACACTTCAGATGAGTCAGACTGTGATGACGATCTTGATCCAAAGACGGGCATGGAGGTATGGGCACGCACAATTTGTTGACAAGACTTGCAATGTATCAACATTACAATAACAGATTATTTTGTTTTTTAAAGTGGCTCATGACAAGTTATTTTAAAGTCATTTTGAGGACAGAAAACAAGAAGTGGTGCATGTGTGCTAACAAAATCTCACCTAAATTTAAACTTTGACGTTGACTGTTTTCCAGCTTCTCAACCCAAACTTCATCCAAGAAGGTAAGAGACACATGAAGTCATTTGAGTTAAAACATTTGTTTTAGCTTCAGCTAAAGCAGTTTGTGTTTGTTTCTTGGTTTTGTACATGTACATGAACCCAAAAGTAATGTTGAGGCACACCAGGTTGTTCCCAATGTTTAACTTTCTGTACCCATAATCTCCATTTTGGGGTAACTTCAGCATGCCACAAAACTTAAATTAGGTTGGCACCTGCTTGAAGAATACATAGTTTGTCCACTAAACGGGAACTCTGCAACCCTGTTGGCAACTACAGGTGTTTGGAACGGCACAAATCCCCCACATAGTAATGGTAATGGTAACAATAACAATTTATACACAGTACAAGTTTTTGTCTACATTTAACCCATCCTAATTAGGATCAGTGCCTGGGGAGAAGTTGGTTCAGGGCCTTTCTCAGCGGCACCTTCGGCAGTGGTCCATGCTGTACTCAAACTGGTAACCCTCAGCCCCACGGAGTGAGCTAATGCTTGTGATGTTTTCTGCGTGCAGTGGCTCCAGAGTTCCTCGTCCCTCTGTCAGACGTGGTGTGTGCGTTCGGGGAGACTGTAGTCCTCTGCTGTAAAGTCTGTGGACGACCCAAACCCTCCGTCACCCTGAAGGGCCCTGACCAGAACCCAGTGACCAGCAACAGCCGCTTCACCATAGACATCAGGTAAAACAAAGTGCATGTGTGCATATGTGTGTGTAGTTTTATACTGGCTATAGTCACTCTGACTTACATTTTATCATTTCCCTTTTCTTTCTCTCCCCTCCTCTTTCCTTTCCTCCTTCATCTCTAATCCTATTCCTCCGCCCTCACTTTCTTCTTGCCCATCCCTTTTCTCTTTTCCTTCCTCTTCCTCCTCCTCCTCCTTCTCCTCTCCAGGGATACAGGTGACATCTTGTTGAAGATCTGTAATCTGATGCCTCAGGATACCGGGATCTATACCTGTGTTGCTGTTAACGACCACGGCTCGGCCTCCTCTTCCGCCTCCATTAAAGTGCAAGGTGACGTACCTGGAAGTAGCATTTCTCTATAATTATAAAGAAATTATCCTGACGAGCACTAAAGAGTTAAATAGTTGTAATGGTACACGGAGATATAAGATTCTGAAATGCCATTGCTTGTGACAACAGTTTGAATCAACATTCGGTCTAAACAGAGCAGATACTGTGGTTTGCTGACTATGTGTATGTTTTTTTCTGTCTCCTTCAGGTATCCCAGCAGCCCCTGGGAGACCGGTGGCCCAGGAGGCCAGTAGCACGTCGGTGATGATCCACTGGCCGCCTCCGGCTTCATCCGCTCACTGTGCTGTCAGCAGCTACACTGTGGAGTACAGGCAGGAAGGTGTGTGTGTGGGACCGTACATTAGCAATAGAATTAGATGTTTCATGCTTGTGAAACATTCAAAGTGACTAAACCTTTCCTTCTTTTTTACCCTCAGACTCATTGCTATGGCAGCAGGTGGCCAGCAGCAGAGAGGAGTGTGTTCAGATTGATACTCTGATCCCCGGAGGTCACTATCAGTTCAGAGTGCGAGCCTCCAACCGCTGGGGCATCGGCCCGCCGTCCGAGCCCTCAAATATGATCACACTGCCCAGCAGCAGTAAGTCTGCACACACACAAACACACATTTTCCATGGAAATATCTTCAAAAGACAAACATTTTGGAAATGTGTTTTTTGTGTGAGTGTGAGTGAGATAAGAAGATACAGATTAGTCTCATGGCTGTGCAGTAAGGACAAGATCAGCTTAGCTTAGCATAAAGGCCATAAAATGGAAAACAGCCATTCTGGGTCTGCCTAAAGTGAAAAAATACATTAACCAACACATCTAATGCTGACTTATTTTCAAGATTTATCTTGTTGGTTTGATTTTAGGGAGTGTTTACAGTTTTACAGAGCCAGACTTTAAAAACCATGACACAGGTGAGGCAGCTCCTGACTGTAATTGTTTTGGTATTTTTATTAAAATATTTTGTACTGTGCAAATAGCACTTAACCACTTATACGGTGCATGTTGCCATATTTACTTGGCAATGACTCCCAGTCTGTTTTCCGCCACTATAGTCGCTTTTAACTCCCTTATTACTTAAGAGTAACAGCTCCAGATCCTTGTCTGTTCATGCAAAAACAAGCTCTGATGTGGTTCTTCGTCTGTAGTAATAGTTTTTCTATCGCCAAACAGCAGAGGAGACAGTATTCCTACTGTTTAAACCGGCGTCGCACATGCCCAGTATATGTGAAAGGCCACTTGACATGCGTTTTCAGTAGTTTTAATATAGACAGAGATAAATTATAAAACTCAGCTAAAACGCTGGTGTGGACGGTGATTGTTTTCGTTTTAAAACTTTGTTTTTAAACATAAACATAGTAGCGTGGATGCAGCCTTAGTCTTTATGCTTATCCTGAATCCAGCTTATGCATAGATGTGAGATTGTTATCCATGTTCTCATGTCACTTCAATATGAAAGAGCTCTTTCATAAAATGTCAAAAGTAAAGATTTATTTAGAATGCATTTTTTTTTACCATAAACAGAAACACTATTAATAGATGCATTAAAACAGCATGTGATAAAGCTATGTCCATAGTTTGCTAGACAAAAGTAAAAGTCTGTTGCAATTTTCAGTACACCACAGCAGGAAAGTGTGGGACAGAACAAATTACATACATGTGTTTACAGAGGGTGGAGCAAGAATATAAGCTCATGTAATTAATTCTCTAATCTTCTGCTGTTTCTCTGTCCAGACTCTGGCTATGATGGAACAGGGATCCAGTGGAAAGAAAACTTTGAGTCAACCTTCTCTGAGATCTGTGAGATTGGAAGGTGAACTGTCACAAATCACTGACTTTCAAAATAGTCTTTCACAACCTAAACCTGATTTGCAGCCCAGATGTTGATAGTTGATGTTTTAACTGCACCTCTCTTGTCTTTGCTGCTCCCTCTTTTCACCAGGGGACGATTTTCAGTGGTGAGAAAATGTCTCAACAAGTCAACAAAGAAAGAGGTAGGGCATCCCTGCTTGACTTATCATATTTACTGAAGTGATGCTGTTAAGTGTGCATTGCTTTTCACTGTTCAGGCTGCAGGCATGTGTTTTGAGTCTATTTCTGTCTCCTTCATTCATATTCAAGATTGCAATTAAGTTTTAGTTTTTAAGTTTACATTTTTTTATGCATTTCAGGATAGTGAAGTTTGTGTTTCAGGCTGAAGTGATGAATTTATTTCTGTCAAACAGCAGCATATCTGTATTTTTCACTTTAACATTTACCTTTCAGTTTATTGCCTTGTCTTTCAGCGTGTTGTTACATGTCACTTTGTTTCTGTTCAGGTTGCGGTTAAGTTTGTGAGTAAGAAGATGCAGAAGAAGGAGCAGGTGGCTCATGAGGCGGACGTCCTCCTACATGTTCAGAATCCCCAGCTGGTGGTGCTGTTGGACACGTACGAGTCTCCCACTTCTCTGATGCTGATCCTAGAGCTGTAAGTCTTCCAGTGGTGGAAGGAGTATTCAGATTTTTTACTCAAGTAAAAGTAGTAATACCACAGTGTGAAAATAATGTAAAAAAGAACTGAAATTATTTAATTACTTAAAATTAAAAGTACAAAGGTATTAGCTTAAAAATATACTTGTAATATTCTAAAAACTAAACATGGAGAATGGCCCATTTCAGAATCATAACTGTCTTATAATTAGTGACACATTAATTTACACATCACGTTAATGTTGCTGCTGGTGGAGCTAATTTTAACTACTTTATATCCTGCTGCTAGTTTCACCTATAGTAATAATAGTATCATAATTTGTTTATTATTATATTTATTCATATTTTGTAATAATAATTTCCTAGTAACTAAAGCTTTTATCACCAGCTAGGAAGATGACACTATCAAATTTTTATCTAAATGGTACTTAATAACGTGTGTGTGTGCGTGTGTGTGTGTGTGTGTCAGGCTGGAGGATGGTCGTTTGCTTGACTATCTCGTCGCACACGATGAGCTGATGGAGGAGAAAGTGGCATTCTTCATCAGAGAAACACTTGAGGCACTGCAGCACCTTCATACCTGCAGAGTTGCACACCTGGATCTGAAGGTGAGAACCCACGTGTGTGTGCTGCTACATAAATAAATGAATGACTTGACAAATCCATGGACTGAGCTTAATTTTTATTCCTAATTAAGTTCATGTGTGCCTTTGGAAATGTATCCTGTTATCTGTTGTGGCTATGCGTTTTATAAATGAATAACTTAATAATACATTTTTGACATTCTGGAAGTGTCATTTCCAACTTTTCATCTTATCTTCAGTCTGTTTCTGAATTCTATTTTGCTCCCGCAGCCTGAGAACATCATGGTCGACCTCCACACTCCTACCCCGTGCATTAAGCTCATCGACCTCGGCGATGCCGTCCAGCTCTCTGCCCACCGCCGGTACGTCCACCTCTTGCTTGGAAACCCAGAGTTTGCTGCGCCCGAGCTCATCCGCGGGACGCCGGTCTCTGTTGCGACAGACGTGTGGAGCGTCGGCGTGCTGGCTTACGTGATGCTCAGTGGCGTTTCCCCGTTTCTGGATGAATCACCGGAGGAAACCTGCGTCAACATCTGCCGTCTAGACTTCTGCTTCCCGGATGAATACTTCCGCGATGTGAGCCAGGCGGCGAGGGATTTTGTGTCCTCAGTGCTGCAGCAGGATCCCAGGAAGAGGCCAAGCGCTACTTTCTGTCTGCAGCACCCGTGGGTGGGTCGCGGGGGTGCACACGGTGGGGAGTACTCCAAGACGCCATTGGAAACAACTCGGTTGGCCACATTCATTGATAGAAGAAGACAGCTGCATGATGTTCGGCCCATCACCAATATCAAAGGGCTGGTGAGCAGCAGCATGGGCAACACGCTGTGACGGAGAGGAGCTCTGGGTGTTTGAACGCTCTAACAATCCATCTGTCATGGCCAGGGCACCCACAACAACATTAAAATATGTAATAAAAGCATTTCATTATGTTTAGTATTTATAACGTGTGAGTGAGAAAGGGATTTGGTGCCTGAATCCTTCGTGTAGAGTAAGATTTAATCTTTCTGGGACCACTAGGCCAAACTTTTAAACTGAAAAAATAATTGAAATTTATGGCTGTACCATACTGAATTGCTGACTAACACTTCACCTGATCTTTGTTCACCTAGTATAAACCATTACATGAGAGGCGGGACCTATAAACTGCCTAGACACCCCTTAATAACCCAAAGAAATTAGCTCAAAGTTGAGAAAATGAGCATTTAGAAAACACACTGTGAGCAGACATAATGGCAACATATTAATTTATATTTGTATTATTTATTTTTCCAGGGGCAGATGATATATTGGAGTTATTGCTCTTTAATGTCTTAAGGAGCCGTGTTGTGCTAATCTTATCTTGGATCTGCAGAAGGCTGTTTCATGTTCACCTGTGGACAAAGTGCTGTTACTCAGGAACACGAGCAGTACTGAGTCCTGCAGGTATTGGCCTCACTAGCCAACTGGCCAGCAGAATCCTACTCACTGAGAAGCATTTTACCACCCATGCTCAGCTTACAGGCTATAGCTAACATAACTGAACATACTGAAAGGTTTTGTGAGTTTCTGACCACCAGAGGACAAGTTTTGCGAGACAGTGACATCTTGACAGTGACAGTGTCTGATATCATCAGGTTGGTCAGTAGCAAAAATGGTTGTGCACAGTGACTAAACTGCTAATGATGTATTTGAAGTCCTCTAGTCTAATTTGGATTAGTATCATGAGGAACCCTCACGGAGGATTAAAGAGTCTGCAGCTTCAACGAGAATCTGACAGTTAGAGGAGTTAGAAAGCGTTCACCTTCTTTATGTTGGTTTAGTTGCTGTTCTTATCCTGGGGTACTTGGTGAGCTGAGCCAAGGTCATTGTCTTGCTCAAGAACGCTTTGACAGGATTACTCAAATTTTGGGAATTGATCCCAGGACTGTCACTGCACATTACTTGAAGCCTGCATCACACAGTAGCTTCAGTGACAGAGAAGACTAACATCATTAGGAATGGTAATTTTGAGGAACGGTGTGATGGAGGGTTTCAGCAGAGACATCAAGAATGTTGTGGAAAACGCCACCAATCAAATTAGGATTTAACAAGCAGACTTTTCACTCGATATCACGGATGTTCTGGTAATTGTGGTGTTGAATGTGTTTTGATTTGTTGATGTGGGACAGGCAAATTAGTCCAAATCCCCACTAATTGAAAACATTGTAAATTCTTTTTGCGCTCAGTTTGATCATGCTTTGGAAAACACATGTGAAGTGATCAATTCAAGAATGTGTCTCCTACATAGCAGCAAACACGAAATCTGGACTTAAAAAGCATATTTAACGCTTTTCATCCATTTGGTATGAAGCATAACAGACCACAAATGCCACCACAGAGGATTTATGCATCGTTTCATGTTTTCCAACAGTTAACTATATATCACTATATCAACTATATCATAACTGCAATTTAAACCACCAACCTGGAAAGTTATTTTTGGACTCTGAACCTTGCTGTCATATACCTTTAATTTATTGAATGTTTATTTATTCAAAGACTGGGGTTGACAGTGAAATCATATTTGGAATGGTGACCTGGACCAGTCTGGTCTGCGCTAAGTGGCGTTGACATGAGATGACTTAGTCAAACCAAGCTGAAGTCACTGAGCAGCTACCGGACTGTGCAGCAGCTGAGTTTATGTTGTGAATAGTGTTGTGGTGAACTGCTGGAGGAGTTTACATTTAGTCACTGACTTATACTGAACTGTGCTGGACTGTCATGAACTACAATGAACTGGGTTAAAATGGGCAGTTTGAGCCGACAGCATCACTACATAGAAGGTGGGGAAAAAACATTGGATAAACTAATCAGAGGACGACAGGACTTTGCACAGGAACACAGAAAAGGCACCATGGAGACTTAAATCCTTTCTATAGGACACCTATAATTTGTTCGTATCACTGTTTACAAAAAAAAATTCCAAATAATGCTTAAGTAGTTTACAAGAAAGTAGAATTATCAGGGAAAACCTGCATGTAAATTCACCAGGGATGGTTTAGAAATCAGGTTAGTAATCTGTCTGTTTCTATAAAAAAAATCCTGTGACAGGTGTTAAGGTGGGAAATTAACTACACCTTGAAACGTTTTTGTTTGTATTGTGGCAAGTAACCCACCATAGTGTCCCATTCTTTGGCTTGTAAAATAGTTTGTACAGCTGCTGAATTGATCTTGGATTTAGGCAGAAGAGTTAATTTACTGTCCTGCTTCTATTGATGAATGTAATTTCTTGTAGAATGTGTTTTTTTTAGCTTTCACATGCATTGCCATGTTCCCCTATTTGGCATTTTGCGTACAACAAAAATAAGCATTTATTTTCATGCAACCGGGGATGCAGAATGGTGCAAGCAAGAAACCCACTGTTTTATCTCCTTTTATGTCTAGTACAACAACATCCATGGGAACCTGCAAGTGTAATAGTTTGTGTTTATCGGTGCAGCTGTAATAACATCTGTTCAGGTACTAGTGGAACAGCAGAGTGTTTTGCTGTTTCATGTCAGTTTCATCATCACACAGGGGGAAATGCAACCAAGCGACCCCTCCAGGTAGCAGTTGTAGGTAGGAAACACAAGATTTCTCTATACTGAGGGGTCTGAGAGTCAGTTATCTCATCAACATGGCAGCAAACTCTGTAAACATTACACAGCGATACTTTTAACATGTTTCAAACATCCAATACAAAGAACAGCTTTGTGTTAAATGGTTAAAAATAAATATGAAAAGTACTTTCAGTGAACTGCTAACTGTATGTATCTACTAATTAGCTGATGATGTTAAAATTAATTATTATTATTAACATTATTACTGAAACAATCCACTATGTATATATATATATATATATATATATATATATAGATGGATTAATTGAAAATCTGTATTAGTTGCAGCACAGCAGAGTGTATTTTTTTATGGAGTGTTCAATATTAATAATAAGTTAAGTCAAACAAGTAGTCATATAAATAAATACAAACAAATTATGTAATTTGGCTCTGTCCAAAGTCTTAGGTCTTTGTGGCATTATGAAATATGCTCTGTTACTGTGAAAAGGAGCAGGGTGAAATAACCCTTTACAATACAGTAGTGAGCTGAGTTTTAAAACCTTATTGCAGTATTTTACAACTTGATTTAATTTCTTTATTTACAATTTCATGTCTGTATTTAGTAGGGGTGGGAATCTATTGGCACCTCACGGTTGGATTCGACTACGATTCAGAGGGCTGCAGTATAGGATCTGTGGATTCTTTAATTTGCACATTAAAATCCAAAAGAAACATCTCCTAATTAGCTTAGTTTGCATCCCTAATTTACTTCATTAACCTCAACTCCATGGTCCCTCATTTCTTTAACCTGTTGTCAAACTCTGAAAACTGAAATATAATTAGCAGGATGTACAGTATGTGTACACGACAGAGTTCTACATCAGTTTAGTCTAAGCTTGTACCTGATGTTCTCAACCCTTAACAAGTAGGTAAGTTAGTAATGACATACAGCTGAGCTAATTAATATTACTTTGTTACTAATTTAGCTAATATTACATAACAGCCAAAGAACTTGCTGTACAGGGGAGATGTTAGCGCTAACCACCTTCACATTTCCAGCAGTTGGGGAAACTACAGACTTTTAACGGACACAGTGACCTACACTGCACCTTTATTACCAGACAAAAACTTCCTGCTAATATTTTCCTCTGCTAACTGTTCAGCGTCATGTTCTCACACATCACACACAGGATACACAGAGAGCTGCCAAGCGTTGAGCGTCACCAAGCTCGCACAGTGTGCAAGTTAAAATCCTCACTTGCATATTGATATTACTGATTGTGTAATATTTAAGTAGGGTGTTTATTCATTCTGCAGTGGTGTGCCAAATACAGGGGGAACACTGGTCTCTCTGTTATGTGCACGCCACAAATGGTACGGTTGCTGCACCTCTGCGAATTCCGCCTTTTGTGTTCTGTCAACATTACGTTATCAATTAACATTTAAATAACTGATTATTTTGACATTTGTTAATCAAGTCAGAATCTTCCATGTCCGCATCGCAATGCATCTAAGAATGGATTTTTTATCCCACCCCTAGTATTTACAAGGTTACAGGTTATTCATATGATGCACATTCTGTCTTATTTATTCAATTAATATTGAACACTTTGGTCTTCCATACTTTGCAACCGCACCCACAATTTAGCTGGGAGATTCAGAATTGCATCTCTTGAATGGACTACAGCCTAGGCGACAAAAGAGCAGTTACTATGGCAACCATGCTGGTGTAGAACAGTGGAACAAGCATGGCTGCCGCAGAAAAACTACAATCTGCCTCCAGTTTATGCTAATGCTAGCAAACAAAGGTGCTTTTACTGTACACTAAAACAACACATCCTTACAGTGTTTATCAGCTGTTGCTAACAATCGAAACCTGAATGCCTAAAGCACGAAATGTATATTGTTTTACTTAAAACAATAATGAAGATATAAATCAGATTGTTGGGCTCAAAAGCAAAAATTAATTTGCAGTTTGAGGTCCCTAAGCAGGTTACAGGTCTGTTTCTGCTGTTTCAACAAGCAGTGGATCAGTGGACATGGCACTAGTACCTAATCTTTTAAAGAGCCTGAGCCCCTTCATTTACTTTTTATTTACATTGCAACAGAGAAAAGGTAAATCTGTGCTCTGCATTATAGTATTTTAGCCTAGTACTCAGGGTCTTTGTGAGGTATAAGGTATAAACCAGCCTTCAAAACGCATATTCCAGCAATTCAGCAAAATATTTAAGCTTAAGTGAGGTCTGTATTTCTGTCTTGTTAAAATTGTTCATAGTTTCCTGTAAAGACAACCATTCATCTGCAACCTCTGGTGTGAGTTCCTTTTTCATGATCGAAATCTGTGACTGTCCAAATGTTTCCCAGTGTGCCCATCTGGAACTAAACTGACAATAGAAATATTAAAATCTGATAATGCAGTAGTAGTGTACAATATGTAATGTAATAGTTCTGTCTGAAGCTAGTATAGCTTCACCTTCTGGTTTGCTACAGCTGTTCTCTAACCCTGGGTTTGACCTGCGCAGCTGCAGAGGCTTTAACTCTGAAGGACAGAGCTGATCTGTTGGTGTCTTAACCGCATGAAATCTTATAGCGAGTGATGCTCCAATCAGTCGAGTACTGAATCACATCACCTGTTAGTGATGGAGAAACGTCCAGATTTACAACTGTAACCTACGCTTACCTTTTAGCTTCACTCTTGACTGTAAGGAAGAAATAAAATCAGTCATTTTGTGTTCAACTTAATTTCCAGGAAAGTCCTAGAGTAGAGTGGGGGTCAATTTATTTACTTTATATCAAGCGGGAAGCTTCCGGTCTGAGACATGAGTCCAATCCGGAAGTACCATAAACTTGCATTCTATCGATGTAAGAGTCGCAGGGGGCGACTCTTCTGGTTGCAAAACAGAAGTCCGGCTCCATTAGAAATAATGGGAAAATTACCCTAATTCTCAGCTGATTTATTACCTCAGTAAACACTTTCCTGATGAGTTTATGGTCTCAATCGCTAGTTTCTTGTTCCTTCAATAGAACATGATGTTCATTTAGTAAATTATGGTCCCATTTAGAGGAAAATAGACCATAAAGCAGAGAATGCTTCAGGGCGGGATTTTCTGTAATTGACAAGTCGTTATCAGGCTAGAGTGACTCATATCCACAGCACTGTGTAAATTTAACCAGCGCCATTGAAAAAGATTATTAGGACTTGGCTCTGGTGAGTGCATTTAGTTTTAAGCCTGGTGTTCACTAGACAAAATTGTCAGCCCTGTTAAAATGACAGATAAGGTGAATTACAGATGCATCTAACTAAGCAAGCTAGCTAGTGCCACACACAGCCGTTAGCTCCACTGTCTCGTCCAATATAAATAAATATAAATATGGTCACTTCCAGGCATTTCCTGGTTGCAAAAAATCAACATGTCGGCGCCCTATCGGTAGAAGTATAAAGGAGCAGAAAATGGAAATACTCAAGTAAAGTAACTTTGCACCTCAGATCTTCTTCCCCCAAAGAGTTCAAGTTAAGTCCGACTGTCCCGGTATCAATTCTGTCCCAATCCCACAATGCATCTGTCATGGCTTGGTGAGCCACGTAGCACCATGGTGGCTCCACCCTGTTGAATGCTAGTCTGTGCTGTATCCTGCTGGTGTTCATGCTGTATAGGCTGCCTCTTCTTACTCCATCCTGCTGGTTTGTTACTCTTTACTAATAAAGAACCTGCTTGTTCGTAGTTTTTCGTCTTTCCGGCTCATTCCCTTAATCCACTGTGTGAATGCTTGTGTGTGTGTGTAGGGGGGGGGTTCCCATAACATTTTAGACTCAGGTTTAATGTAATGTATTATTAAAATGGATGAAAGTACATATTAACATCTTACTGGTTGAAATTATTTTTGTCATTGATTCAACAACTTTCAAATAATCCATGGAAATCACCACAGACTAGGGATTCTTCTGTCTAATCCTATTAGCCAATTTACTGAGTTCAGTAAGATTATGGGAAAGCTAAATACATTCACATGTCCGGAACATTTTTAAACTGGAATTAAAATTTTTTGTGTTTGCTTAACTAAAAATGAAGGGGAAGTTCACTTCAGTCTGTTTTTTAGAAAATGCTCCACTAATTAGTCAAAACATTCTGCCTGCAGTTTTAAAAGCAGCAAAATAAGTAAGACAAGATAGAGAAAATAAATCGAAAACATGTGAGCGAGAAAGCCAGTTTTAACTTATTCTAAAATAAGTTAATTAAGCTATGCAATAAGTTTGTCAAAGCCTTTTACCGTGTAACCATAAAATAGGATCAGAAATGCAGTATTTCACATTTTAATGTTACATTCAAGCTTTAGTTTTTCATGAGTTTACAACAGTTGTCTCACCAACACTTACTTTATTTTAGTTTTATTTTGTTTTTGTAATGACCCTGTCACACAGCATCTCTCTCTCTCTCTCTCTCTCACACACACACACACACACACACACACACACACACACACACACACACACACACAAACCACACACTGCCCTATGTTAAAGCAAAATGCTGACCACAGCTACTTTAAACTCAAAGCTCAAAACACAACAGAAAACGTGTGTGTATGTGTGTGTGGTCACTCTGACTGCTTTTACAAACCATCACAGCAGGTGAAGCTCTCAGGCACTAATACAGCTTCAGTTGATGAAATATTTCCCGGTAATCCTGTAACTAAAGTGTGTGTGTGTGGCGTGTTGTTGCTGTGCTGCTGAGGAAGTTTTTCACCACAATAAACTGGAGGTGACTCGGATGGCAGACGACACTGTAAAGAGTGGAAGAGGAGGAAAAGGAGGAGTCATAAATGTTGAGGTAAGTTGACTCATGGGATTTCCTAAAAATTCTTCTATACATTTATGCTGTAGACACACAACAGACACTTAGACTTACTTTTTGTGCAGTGTGGTGGACATATGTGAAAAGAAATCATGGGCGGTTAGAGTTAGAGTTCAGTTTACCCGACCTCTGTTGCCCCTCCTCATCTCTACTTGAGGCTATATTAGCCGCTACTAGCTTAACACACCTGAATCTCCATCCATACTGCCTGCTCATGGTACAAATACTGTCCTCCCAAAGGTAGGACAGCGTCAGTCGATGCATGTTATAGAACTGGATTTTTGACTCTTGTCCGTCGGGAGCAAAGCAGGAAGTCGGGTGAGGTTGTTATAAAGTGACTCTGAAGAGGGTGATGGTCAGGTTAACACTGGAGATCACTGTTCACTTCCCACCTGCAGTTAGCACTGGTTCATTTTAACCATGACTAGGATCCTTCCCTAACCTTACCCTTAACCAAGTGGTTATTACTTTTACCATGACAGCAAAGATCCCCTAACCTTAAGCCCAAACCAAGATCCTTCTGTAACCTTAAAGTAATTATTTTATCCCAGACCTTCAAGTCTTCACCTACAGCTAACCAACATTGTTGGGAGTAACTTTACAAAAGTAACGCAATTACAATAATGTATTGCTTTTTGCTGTCACGCATTAATATAATGCATTACTAAAAAAAAAAGTGAAGTGAAGTGTTGTGTGTTTTGTTTTCTTAATATAACACTGACAAACATTTCAGCACCAGAAAAACAAATCCATGAGTGAAAGACTAACCTTATTTCCTGTTGCGGGAATCCGATGGTCGAGATTGTAGGCAGGGTGCAAACTATGTGGGAGCTCGGCTCCTCTTACCAAGACGGTAGCTCCCCTGATCGATCATGCGTAAAAAGATTTCTATTGGCTATATGTGTTTGTGCTTTAACAAATACTTTAATGATTAGAGAGGCTGTCGTCAGTTCATTCTGAACGATACTGAAAATTAACAAACAGATGATTTGTGCTGAGCAACATGTCTACATGTGTGCCATCTAGATACCTCCATCAGAATCCCCCTACTATCACCCAGATATTTTCTCTATTCTTGAGGAGGAAGTTAACCATTATAAAACCATGGGAAATGTATTAATCTGTGCGGACTTGAATGCTCGAACTGGGGACAGAGCTGACACTATGAACACCCAGGGAGACAAACACTTACCTGGAAGCACCTGCTTCCCCCTCCCTGAATGTCCTGCTAGAAAGAGCTTTGACAAGCTTACTAATAATAAGCGGTATGCAGCTTTTACAGCTCTGCCGTACGCTGGGTCAGTACATAGTCAACGGCAGGCTACAAGGGGACTCTCTCGGTCGCTACACTTACAGCTCAGCTCTTGGCAGTAGTCCGGTAGATTATTTCATTACAGATCTAGATCCAATGTCTCTTAGAGCTTTCACAGTCAGCCCCCTCACACCCCTGTCAGACCACAGCAAAATCACTATCTATCTGAAAAGGGCTCAGTCTAAGTCTGGAGCCCCTAGTGCCTGTGAACTGTTTAACAGCACATACACATACAGATGGACCCCAGACAGCATGGGGGCGTACCAAAAGACACTGGAAAATCAAAACATACATGATTTAACTCATTTATTTCTTACTGAAACATTTCCCCAGAATAATTCTGGTGTAAATTCTGCTGTGGACAAAATCAATTCAATATTTCATCATTTGGCTTTGTTGTCTAATTTGAAAGCCTCCAAACCAAAACCTCAGCAAATGAATAATAACAAATGGTTTGACTAAGGAAAACTTTAAGGAAATTATCAAATGAAAAGCACAGGGACCCAGATAACCACAAGATACGCTGTCAATATGAGGCCATTCTGAAACAATACAAGTACACAAGCACACAGCAAGAAGCAGCTCTGTGAAATTGAGGAATCCTTAGAGTCCAACCAGTTCTGGGAAAAATGGAACACCCTAAACAAAATCCAGCAGGATGAATTGGCGATCCAAGATGGAAATACTTGGATTAATCACTTTAGTGAATTATACAGTAATATTACAAAATATTATGATCAGTACAAGATATTCACAAAATGGAAAACTCTGGAAATGGTGACAAAAAAACAACCAAAACCCTCTAGATTACCCTGTAACAGAACAAGAATTAACAGAAGTCATCCAGTCCTTGAAAGGAAAAAAGGCTTGTGGTATTGATGGAATCCTTAATGAAATGATCAAATACTCAGACCATAAAATCAGATTGGCTATACTAAAACTATTCAATACTATTCTAGCAACTGGAACTTTTCCAGACATCTGGAACAAAGGTTTAATAACCCCAATTCATAAATCCTGAGATAAATATGACCCAAATAACTACAGAGGAAAATGTGTATCCAGTAAACTGTGGGAAATATTCTGCAACATCATTAATAAACAACTTGTCAACTTTCTTGATGACCACAATATTCTGCATAAATTTGCCAAATGCCATTTGGTTTTTTACCAAATTGACGCACAACAGACCATAGATTTACCCTACAGATCAAAAATCAAACATTCAGAAAAGAAAGGTACATG